AGCTGAGGGCTTTTCATGAGGGTTTACCCCAGCCAGTGAGAGAAGCCATCACATATAGGTGGCCATGCCTTGGTCAGCTCTCAGCAGCCCCCAGCATGCCATCTAGTCCCCTTCCCTAGAGACTCCCTCCTCTTTACTACACGGGATCCAGGAGATTGGTGGAAGTGGGCAGGAACCTGGCTCCGCGAGCAAGTCTAACTACAAGAAAGGCTGCAGAATTTTGAGGGATGGAGAATGGGGCTTGGAAGAGGTTGTTTTCTTCCAGATTTGTGATTCAATTTCTTACATCTCTGCCCAGAAGCAGAGAACCAGAGAAGCATCTTCCCCCAGCAGGAGAGAGGTTTGGGTGGCTGTGTCTGAAAAGCAGCTGAACAGGAGAGGCAGGAGCCCTGCTTCCCCCCCCCCCCCCGCACCCACCCCCCCGCCAGGTGAGGGAGGGGATCCCTCAGGGTGGGTCCTGGCCTGGAGAACCCTAGGGGTCTGTGCTGCTGAGACTGAGTCTTGTCGACCCTTCTGTGTCTGACTATAAGATTGTGGGCGTATGATTGTATCTTGTGTCTGCTTATTTACAGCAATGTGTGCTGAGACAGGCAAGCAGTGGGTCAGGAGGATACTGAGGTAACATTTTTCTCGGAAATGACTCTGCTGTCAGACCCTGCTTGAAAAGCCAGTGAGGAAGATGTCCCTGAGGGAAGCAAGCTTTGTAAGAAACACAGGCTTGCTGAGGTGAGGATGTTTCATTTCAGGCCCACCTCTGTGTGGGAGCCCTGTTAGCTTAATAATGGAGATCACATTAGGGTGAGAACCATGAAAATGAGTCTTCCTTTAGGCCTCATAGAGTAAGGAAAACCGAAGTCATTAAACTGAATAAGAAAAAAATGAGGTGAGCCCAGATTTTATTCACCCACTGTCTTGCTTTGCCTTAGTCATCTTTAATAAACATTTTGAAGGAGAAATAAGTTAACAATGTTCTGTACTTAACGATACAGAAAATCTTTTGTTAATGTTTCTTTGAAGTTACATGTTAATAGAGATGAGCCATTCTTGTAAAAAATTTATAGCCTCATTAAAACAAATGCAGTAATAATGCTAATATGTGATCTTATACAGAATGCATGATATTATATGCTTACATTGCAAATATTATTTTATATTATATTATTTGCTTACATTGCAAATTTTGGTGTATACTACATGTGTTCTTACCATTAACAGACTTGCTTTAGCTTCTTACTTTATTAACCAAGATATTCTACATTTCATGTACTTTCCTTCCACAGCTTTCCTATAAAATATAATGGCTTCAGTCTTGGTGTCATAAATTAAAAACTCTTAAACCAGTGAATACTGGTTTTAAAATAAATATCACGGTCACATATTTCACAAGAATACTTAATCTACAAACTCTGAGTTACTCATCTTCAGCTTGGGCTGAAATGTGTGTTTTGGATGCGATGACATGTGAACACTCATACTTGGGTCTTCATTAAATTATGAGATCCCACCCATTTGAAGAGGCTTTTCTGCAATTGTCTGAGGTCGCTGCGAAGTGACAGGGTCACTCCCTTCACGGTGCTCAGTGGCTGTTGGAGATGATCCTCCATGAATGCCCGGAGAGGGCGGAGTAGAGCGGTGAAGGCTTGCTCTTGTGTGAGAAACCGGAAGAAGCTGCCTGTGAGGAACGGAACTTGCTGTTTTCCATGCATTTGCTCTGGAACCTGATGAGTAGATGCTCCCCACCAGGGCGAAGAGGGGAAGAGAAAGTCCCTACCCCAAGGAGATTAAAGTCCAACGAGGAGACAGGTGTTCTAACAATTAGAGTGATTAGTTGTGAATGTGGCAGCGCGTTCCAAATGCAGTCAGAACGTTAGAAGTGGCAGCCTCCACCCTGGCCCAGTGATGTCAGAGAACTTGAGGGAGGAGGTAACGCAAGCCTAGACTTGAAGGGTGTGAAGGTGTTTGTCAAGGGATTGAGAGCAATCCAGGCATAGGAAACAGCTTTTTCAAAGGCAGGAAGGCTTGAAAGAACATGTCAGATTCAGGGAGAGGCAAGTAAGGGAGAATGGCTGTGCAAAAGATGGAGATGGAGAGATAAGTGGCACCAGATCTCAAAGCACTTTATCATAAGATTAGATTACAACTCAGAGCAGGGAAACAAGATGATGATATTAGGTTAGTAGAAAAATTACTTTGGCACTGGGGAAGAGAGAAGGTGGCTGAATGAAGGGAGAAGCAACAAGAAGGGAAGTGTGTGGATAGTTTCAAGGAATATTTTGAAGGTATCTGGTGCTAGCATCTGGAGTCTTTGACTGAGGGAGTGGTGTTGCTTTCAGAAAGACAAAGAAAGCAGAAAAAAAAAAAAAGCAAGGTGAAGACAATGAATCCTGTTAACATCCAGTCACCACCACAGTTGGCTGGGTGCTGAGGGAGAGGTGAGCCTGGAAACCCAAGAGCCATCAGCCGTGGGGATGGATGCAGTTGTCCCAGGAGAGCTAAGACAGGCATCGCGTAATCCGGAGGAGGAAAAACTAGCAGAGGATCTGAGAAAAGGATGATCAAAGGCAGGAGTCTCTGGGGGAAAATGGTGCTGCAGAAGTCTGAAGCAGTGTTAACACCACAGAGGTAAAAAGGGGTGAAGAGTAAAGTCTTCCCTTTGGACTTAAGGAAAAGTCCCATTAGGTTGAGGAACTAAGTCAACAAAATTGCCAACAGAGACTTTTTTTTTGGTCAAGATTTATTTATTTTTATTGGAAAGGCATATTTACAGAAAGCAGGAGAGACACAGAGAGAACTTAACATCTACTGATTCATTCCCCAAGTGGCCACAATGGCCAGAGCTGAGGTGATCCAAAGCCTGGAGCCGGCAGCCTCTTCCAGGTCTCCCATGCAGGTGCAGGGTCCCAAGGCTTTGACCCATCTTCAACTGCTTTCCCAGGCCACAAACAGGAAGCTGGATGGAAAGTGGAGCAGCTGGGATATGAAACAGCACCCAAAAAGGTGCTTGTAGATGAAGGAATTAGCCAGTTAAGCCCATTGTGTAAGCCCCCAGAGACTATTCTTTCAATAACCCTAACTATGAAATAGGATAGGATAGTGGAGAAGACCAACAGAGAAGATTCCTTTTGTTTTGATATGGAAAATCTTAGGCGTATCCTTAGAAGGGGCCAATAGGGAGACACAGAAAAGCTATGAAGGGGCAAGGGAATAACCAAGGATAAAGTTGTGGGGAAGGCAGGGGTGGAAGGGAGCACAGGAAGATGGATTTAACGGTCAGAGGGAAGAGACACCTAATCCTCTGGGATGGGAGGATTGACAGTTAAGAAAAACAAAGACGTTGTGTCAAAAGCAAGACACAAAGATTATCAGCCTGTCCAAAAGATAGGACCCAAACTGAAAACTCACTCTCTCTGCCTGCTCTCATGCTTTGCTCCCTGAGGCAGCATGAATGACCAACATTGAAGAAGAGGGGAAAGCTGGGAGCTAGGGTTCCCTGTGGGAGCACCCCGCCTTTGGAGCTGGAAGACACCCACAGATCATCATCATATCTGATGCATGACCTGGGGCTCATCACCTGTCCAGTGTTGATGAGTCAATGAAGAACTGGAACCAAACCCAAAACTGACTCCAGCCCTGGGTTCTTTCCCAGAGAGATAGGAGAAAGAGGGAGAAGGATTATTCTGGCACCAAGGAACAGACTATTGCTGGATTTAGGCAATGTGATGAAATGCTGCCATCTTCCCAGCCTGGGAGCTTATCTATCCCTAGTGCTACTCTGGTGTTTTAAATACAATATCTCATTTCATCTTCACCATGACCTGGTAAGGGTGACAGTATCATCTCCACTTTAAAATAAAACTGGGTCCCTGTGGAAATCAAATAAATTACAAGGGGCAGAGGGAGACTGTAAACCTGCTGGAACTGACTCCAAAGCTAAATTTTTCCTTGTATCACTTAACAAGAATCTGTGTAGTCAGACTGGATTGTGGAGACCCCGGGACTGATCAGATCACAGGCAGGGAAATGAGCAGAACTGAGGACCACGGCATCTCTGAATTGTAGTGGGTCTCAGTGATGGTGATGGCACTGGTTTAGAATCAGCAACACTCTCATAAATGTTTTCCAGATCCTTTTGTCTGAAATTTAGCTAAGCACAATAAGTTCAGGTACCATTTCCCCAATATCCTGTAGGCAAAAGGACAAACTAGAATTGAACAAGCTCTGAGACTGGGAGACATGCTGAGAAGATCAAAGTTGGGCTTTGAGCAGATGGAAACATGGTCACAGATTTGCATGGGAAGGACCAGTGTGTTCATGTGGCCTGGAAGGACATCTGGCCTGCTGCACTGCAATCAGTGGAGGGAATGGAATGATGGAATGGCTAGAATGGAAGCTTGGGTGCTTGAGAAAGCTGGTCAGGCCAGTGTGGGCAGGGACAGTCTGGCAGTCAGCCCTCTGAGGATGTAACTGCATGATACCCTTAGCAGGTCAGTCAACCATTTTGTAACCTGAGCCTTCCTCCACTTGATAATCAGTGTAGCTCTTTATCTATCTATCTATCTATCTATCTATCTATCTATCTATCTATCTATCTATCTATCTATTTATCTATCTAATAAATGTCTGATCTATCTGCCGATGCCAGAGGCCTGAGGGAAAATAAAGGCAATCATGTATCTTAAAGTCTCAGAAGAAACAGATGCCTAGAGGATAGTGGAGGTACTTGTATAGGGTGCCTGGGGGCACAGCGACAGATTGCTGAGACCCTGGTTGTGTCACAGCCAGTAGATGGGGAGATGGGTGCCCGGGGCCTGGAATGGCAGTGGCGGGGTACCTGGCAGGCTCCCAGAGAAGGGGGTCTGGTGAACTGTAGTCTTTGCTGTAGCCTCTAGCACCAGGAGCCGGTGTCTGGTGCCAGAGGACTCCCAGCCAAAAGATAGGTTCTATCTTTTGGACAGGTTGATAACTTCCCAGCATCACCTTCCCCACACACCTCCAGCAGAATGGCAGCTTTTGGACACACGTTCCCCTTCTACACCGGCCCCAAGCCCACCTTCCCCATAGACTCCACGCTGGCCGTCATCATCACCATCTTCCTGACCGCACTGCTCACCTTCATCATCATCCTGCCTGGCATTCGAGGCAAGACGGTGAGAAGCAGCCCCGCACCCCCCCCCCCCCCCGTACGGCCACAACCAAACTCCACCACAGCAGGGAGCTCGTCCACTCCTCCACCCCACAACTGGCTCCTGAGCACCTACTAGGCGCCTACCCCTCCCCCGAGACTGGATGGAGGATGGCAGGGTGGACTTGGGAGGAGGGCCCTGCTGACTAACCGCACTGCCCCGTCCTGTGATTCAGAGGCTGTTCTGGCTACTACGGGTGGTGACCAGCTTATTCATCGGGGCTGTGGTCCTGGGTGAGTGCCAAGCACAGCTGACTTGGGCAAGCACTGCCTGGGCTTCAGAGTGGCCTCTGCATGTTGCCCATGCATCGCTGCCGTGGTAGCTCTAACCCTAACCCCTGGCCCTGAGGGTGTAGCCACAGGCAATGCTAAGTATGTCTGTCTAACCTTCCTGGCATTTCTGTGCTGGGAGGAGGGCAAAGCAGACCAAACCAGACCCAAACAAACGTCTGTGCAGAGATCTCCAGAGATAGGAGGGAAGGAAATGGGTTCGGCCACTGGCCTGGCTTTGGTGATTGCGCAGATAGGAGCTATGGCAAGTGTACTGCAGCCACCTGACTTGGGTTATGCCAGCAGCCTGAGTGACTCTCTGTAAATGGGGGATGGGTGGTAGTAGCGGAGGGAGGGAGTAAGGCAGGGAGGGAGGCAGAGAGGGAAGGAAAAGGAGGGAAGCAGAGTGTGACCAAGGGGTATCTCGAGTTCCTACCCATTTTTGCAGTCCACACTGTTGGCAAGCTGCCTGGAACCCAGCCCCTAGGCTAGTTAAGGGGGCTACAATTATGATCCAGTCATGGAGCCCCTGTAGCTCTCTTTCCCACTCTAATCCAGTCACACCCCTACCTCCCTGAGTTCCCACATGTCCAACACCCAAACCCAGCTGTGAATTTCAGTTCCGAGTGGTCCGTGGGCCAGATCAGCGCCAATACAACATACAAAGCCTTTAGCTCCCAGCGGATCCACGCCCATGTGGGGCTGCAGGTCGGCTTGGGAGGAGTCAACATCACACTCACAGGTGAGGGCACGGGGTGGGGCTGCAGTCTGTGTCTTTGCCATCTGTGGTTGGCATGGTCCCCAGAGCTAAGTGTGTGGGCACCAGGGTGAGGAGGATGGATAAGTGTCAGAGGGTGGGGGCTGGGAAGGGAAACTCAGCTGCTTCCTGCAACTGACCAAGCCCTGCTGACAGAGCCTGCTCCTCCCTTCCTGCCCGTGTGAGTGACCCCCACCCCAGGCATATGCCCCCTCCAGTCTCTGACTCCATGGTCCCCAGGAACCCCAGTGCAGCAGCTGAATGAGACCATCAATTACAATGAGGAGTTCACCTGGCACCTAGGCCAGAACTATGAGGAGGCGTATTCAAGGGCCCTAGTGAAGGGGCTGCCAGACCCTGTGCTCTACCTGGCTGAGAAGTTCACCCCTCAAAGCCCGTGTGGCCTCCACCACTTGTACCGCCTTGCAGGACACTATGCCTCAGCCATGTTGTGGTAAGCAGGGGGAGGGGAGGGAGTGATGGGCAGGAGTCCCACCTAGCTTTCCTGCTCCTGTGTGTATCTCAGGAAGGATGGGCTGGCATGTGTCACCACAGTGTTTGGTTGGGAAGCCCATGGCAGGAACCTCCACTTCACATTTTTGGGGCACCCCTGGGTCCTGGAGCCTTCCCCTAGGGCCCCACCCCAACTTCACCAGCAGGCAGAGAGGATGCCCCCCCACCCCTTACCCCACTCACCAGGGCCTGGACCCTCTCCAGGGTGGCATTCCTGTGCTGGCTGCTGACCAACGTGATGCTGTCCATGCCCGTGCTGGTGTACGGGGGCCACATGTTGCTGGCCACAGGCATCTTCCAGCTGCTCGCTCTGCTGCTCTTCTCCTCGGCCACATCCCTCATCCCACCCTGCCCCCTGCGCCTGGGCACTGCAGAGCTGCACATGCGCCGTGGGCCTGCCTTCTGGATCACCCTGGCCACAGGTAAGATGCCCCTGAGAGACAGGTGCATGGTGGTCATAGGGCGTGGCTCAAGGTCAGAGACCATCACGTTGGGGAACCCGGGGGCGGGGAGTGTGCCTCTGCCGTTTTTAGAACCCTGTCCCTCTTGCCTCCTTCCTTGGTTTGCCTTCCCACCTCGTAGTTCCCTTTCTCTCGTCCCTCAAGTTCACTCCACCCAGCTCCTTCCTGAACCTTTCAATCTCATTTCTCCTCCCACTTCTCCTAAATGCCCTTCTGAGTCTTCAATCCTAGAACCCTCTGCATCCCTGCCCCACTCAGCCCTAAGCTGGCCTGCAGTTTCTCCTATCCTATCCCGCTGCATCTCTTCCTTCACACCCTCCTCCCCACCACCTCCTCTGTGCCCTGCCCTTTCCTCAGGGATTCTCTGATTTTCAGATCTCCCCATCTCCCTTCTCTACTCCTTCTCTGTCTCTGCCACCCCTGTCCTCACTCCTTTCCCTCTCCCTGGGTGTGACTTAAAGAGCCCCAGCTTGGAGTCTGGGAACAGGACAGGAGAGCCGCATCAGTCATGTGACCCTAACCCAGCATGCCCTGGCTGCTCTGGGTCAGGGCCAAGGCCACCCCTGGAGTTACTCGATGCCCTCAGGGAGGAGGCATCGCTGTCACTGTGGCAGGACACTCTTTGTCCCTGCCCACAGGACTGCTTTGCGTGTTGCTGGGCCTGGCCATGGCGGTGGCCCACAGGCTGCAGCCCCACAGGCTGAAGGCTTTCTTCAACCAGAGTGCACAGGAGGACCCCATGCTGGAGTGGAGCCCCGAGGAAGGGGGACTCCTGAACCCCCGCTACCGGTCCACAGCGGAGGCAAGCCCCGAGCCCCAGGACATCGCACTGTCTGAAGCCTGCTCTGAAATCTGCTGTAGGGAAGAGTGCCCTGGTGAACCTGACTGTGCCCTCTGATGTCCTCCTCCCCACCTGAACTTCCCATCTGGCTGAGGATCTCACTGAAGCCCTGTGAAGCTGCCAGAAACACCCATGGGGCTTCAATCCATGGGTGAGATAGAAAGGGGAGGCTTCACTTATCACTAAGAAGAACCAAATAGGAACCAGCACCATGGCATATCAGGCTAAGCTTCTGTCTGCAGTGCCAGTATCCCATAGAGGTGCCAGTTTGAGTCCTGACTGCTCTACTGCTAATCCAACTGTCTGCTAATGTGCCCGGGAAAGCAACAAAGGATGATCCAAGTTTTCCTTTGGACCCTGTACCTAAGCGGGATACCCAGAAGAAACTCCTGGCTCCTGGCAGTCATTCAGGGAGTGAGCCAACAGAGATCTCTCTCTCTCCCTGTAACTCTACCTATCCAATAAAAATAAATCTTTTTAAAAAGGAGAGCCCAGCATGATGGCTCGGTGGCTAAAATTTGCTTGCATGCATTGGGATCCCATATGGAAGCCAGTTTGTGTCCTGGATGCTCCACTTCCTGTCCAGCTCTCTGCTTGTGGCCTGGGAAAACAGTCGAGGATGGCCCAAGGCCTTGGGACACTGCACTTGTGTGCAAGACCTGGGAAAAGCTCCTGGATCCTGGCTTTGGATCAGCACAGCTCCAGACACTGCGGCTACTTGGGGGAATGAACCAGAGGATGGAAGATCTTTCTCTCTGTCTCTCCTTTGCTCTGTAAATCTGCCTTTCCAGTAAAAATAAATTTTAAGGGTTTGGCACGGTAGCTTAGTGGCTAAAGTCCTCATCTTGCATGCGTTAGCATCACATATGGGTGCTGGTTCTAATCCCGGAAGGCCTGTTTCCCATCCAGTTCGCTGCTTGTGGCTTGGGAAGGCAGTTAAGGATGGCCCAAAGCCTTGGGACCCTGCACCAGCGTGGGAGACCTGGAAGAAGCTCCTGGCTCCTGGCTTCGGATTGGCTCAGCTCCGGCTGTTATGGCCACTTGGGAGAGTGAGTCAGTGGACTGAAGATCTTCCTTTCTGTTTCTTCCCCTCTCTGTATATCTGACTTTCCAATAAAAATGAAACAAATCTTTAACAAAATCTTTAAGACAAAAAGTTCCAAGGCATTGAGGAGATGCTGTTTTCAGCTGCTTCCAAGGGGAGGCCCAGCAGGTGCTGCCCCCATCCTGCATGGCAGCCCTGCCTTCCCCTGATGCCCTGACTTCAAGTGCCACTCACTGAAACCCAGCTTCACCCACAGGGCCTCTGTGTAATTCTTCTACGACCCATCTCTTCCCTCAGAACCTCATATTTTCTTTTCTCCTGGGTCGCTGTTGTTCTTCTACCGCCTCTGCAGGATGCAATGAAAGACAGTACAGGACCCAACTGTCTATCCCGGGGCTCATGTTTACCGCCTGTGCTGCAGGCCCCTTGAATCGCAGTTCTCAAATGCGTCAAGTAGGATTGTAAGGCTTGCCGAAGACCTAACACACATACACAAATACGCACACTCATATTCCGGAATTGATTTTTATGCCTGGTGGACATGTATGTTGGTTCTCAGACAATAGTACAGAAAGCCGAGTGGAAAGAGTAAATGAACTCCTAAATGGCTCTTCTACCCAGACACTCCACAGGGCTGAAGGCAGTGGAACAATGACAGCTGTTATTCTCCCGGGACAGTACCAGGAGGCGGCTTCCCTACGTTCCCCTGGGGCCTCACTAGAGGGCACCCTCTCCCCAGCATCTTCCCCAGGTTAGCTGCACTTTTGCAAACGGAAAGTTTTCTTGGGTCGCTGCAGCGCAAAGAACCCAAAGTTCCCAAACCGTAGCCAGCCCCAAGCCAAGGCTTTCAGGACCCGGGAGAAGCCATGGAAATGAATGGTGGGGATGGAGAAGGAGCTTATGTTTGTTTGTTTGTTTGTTTGTTTGTTTGTTTTAGCATAGCAGTTTATTCACAGTTCACCCCGCATCCCTGGAGACCGCGGGCAGTTAGGAGCTGCCCGCCTTTGCTTGGAGGGTGCCCTGGCCGGTACAACAACTCGGTTTGCTTGGCCCCAAGGCGCGGGAGGAGGAGTCCGGAGTGATGTGTTCCTTTCACAGGTTAGTGGTGACACTGAAGTCTGGGGGCGCGAACTGCTTGTGCAGCGGGTTGTTGAGGAGGAGGGGCGCGCCGCCTTTCACCGGGGCGCCACAGTCGTTGTCCTCGATGTCCAGAAAGATGCGCAGAGCGCTGGGCGAAGTGTAGTGGGCGCACACCACGGCGCATCCGAGCAGCAGGCACAGGATGCCTGTGGCACCGGCCCAAGGTAAAGCGATGGAGAAGAGAGGCAGGACTCCAGGTTAGGGCCCCTGGACTGCCCTTCTATATTTTTGGAGTCCACCCCTCTGCTGGCTCGCTCCCAGGACACATACACACGCGCGCGCACACACACACACTTCACAAAAGAACTTCTGACGTGGATGGCATAGTATATGGGCTCGTGCGCTCACTGGGGCAAAGTACCGAACCCCTGGGAACCGAACCGCGCCTGCCTGCCTCCTATGCACTCCGGAGAGGGACGCACAAGCTCCTAGACGTGAACCCGGGATGGGGACCGCAGCCCCGCCCACCCCGCGCCCTGGGTCCTCACCTGTTGCGAGCGTGACCCAGAAGGCGGCACCGAAGGAAGTGACGAAGGACTCGGAGCCTATGCGGAGCGGACAGACGGGCACTTCGGCGATGGTGGCGAAGGAAAAGATGGAGAATAGCGTGAAGGCGGCGGTGACTAGGAGTCCCAGGCCCCCGTAGAGAGGGGCGGGCATGGAGAGCAGCCCGTTGGTGATGACCCAGAAGATGAAGGCCACCCTGGGGCAGAGGGTGACGGTGAGCAGGACTGACCGCCCTGCGGAATCCCGGATTCCCGCAGCCTCGCTCCCGCATCGGTCTTGTCCCAGCATGAAAGCCCGAGGCCGGGGCAGGGGCTGGAGCTCAGGCTGGGCTGGGGCTCTGGCGGTGGAAGCTCAGGGGAGGAAGCAAGCCCCAGGCCGAGCTCTCCAGACCGTCCCTCCTGATTCCCGCGGGCCTGGCAGGTGTTCGGATGTTCTGGCCCCCCGCAGTCGACCCGAGCGCGTATTCCTCCGCTCGCAACTGTCCCCTGTCTTCCTCAAGCTGGCGCGCGCGCACAGCTTCCCCGCCCCCTCCCCCACCCTACCCCCACTCCTACCCAAGCTCACCAAAGCGTGGCCGAGGCGTAGTGTCCCGCCAGGTGGTACTGTTGGTACAGGCCACAAGGGCTGGTTGGGGTGAATTTCTCGGCGAGGTAAAGCACCGGGTCCGGCAGCCCCTTCTCCAGTGCGTCCAAGTACTCCCGGTAGTAGTCCTCATCCAGGCGCCAGGTGAACTGCTCGTTGTAGTCTATGGTCTCATTCAGCTGCTTCACCGGAACCCCTGCACACAGCCCAGGACCCCGGCAAATAAGAGGCCTTACAGGGGCTGGTAAGGTCGGGGCGATCCTGCCCTAACCTTGGAGAATCCCCGAAGGAAATTGAGTTGTAGGATGTGAGCGGTGATCCTCCGAACATCCCTGTGCAACCCCACGGCCCAGGAATTCGAGTGACCCCAGCCTCCTCACCTTTGAGTGTGATGTTAACGCCCACCAGGCCCACGTGCAGACCCACGAGGGCCTGCACTTGCGCCGTGCTGAAGGCTTTGTAGGATGTGTTGGTGAACACTCCACCCACGAACCAGTCTCCACTGAAGTGCACAGCTATGGGGACACCACATGGAGAAAGGGGTAGGAAGGACAGGGAGGAAGAGAAGATTGAATTAGGGGAGTGGTGATGGAGAGAGGTGCAGGGAAGACAGCCCTGCGAAAAGCTGGACCCGTGGGAAGGTACATCAGGTGCCCTCTGTCCCCCTCCTTCCTTATCCCCATCCACGTCCTCTCCCTTCAGGCTGCCGGGCACACTCACCCACGATTTCTCCGCCTATGAACAGGCTGAGAAGAACTCTCACAAACCAGAACCAGCGCTGTAGGAACAGGCACTCGTGTCAGGCTGGGTCCCCAAGACCTCCCATGGCCCCACTCAACCGCACTCCATCTCAGTCTTCAGTTGCTGCTGGGCAGCCTGGGCGGGCCCTTGGTGTTTCTGAGGTTTTCTGGCCCCATACTTCCCTCTTGCCAGCTTTATTTCCCTGTCCACCCTGTAGCCTCTGCCTGCCTGGCCCTTGGGCCACCTTCCATCTCCCAGCTGCCTGGCGCCTGGTCGGCCCCACTTCCTGGTCCAGCTGCTGCTTGTTGAGGCTCAGTGAGTCCAGAAGTGCTAGGCAGGCAAGGGTCACCTCCTCCAGAAGAGGCAGGCTGGGAGCCGGGTGGTCAGGTTAAAGGAGCTGTTGATACAGCTACTCCCTCGCACAGCAGTTCCCTGGGAAGCCACCACAGATCCAGACCGAGAAACACCCAGTCCCCCAAGGCTTGCACCAACAGCCTAGGTTCTGGAGGAGGAGGAAGGGGCATCTAAGGAAATGCACCCCAACTTGGAATCTGGTCCCAGACACATGCGCCTTAACATGGCATAAAGGGGAAGCACGGCAGCCAGAGATGCTGGCTACCTGTGTCCTCCGGGCCCAAAGTCCACAGGGATGTAGTGGACCTGCAGAATCTTGGGGGAGAGAAGGGGAGCCCTGGTAGCACGTGAAGCCTGGAATCTGCCCCCATTACTGGGCACCCAATCTGTGCAGTAGCCTGTGAATGATCCAGCTGGTGATAGGGTCAGACTCCAGGATGTTCTTGGGAAGGGTTTTGCTGGCTGCAGCAGCCTTTGGAATGTGTTCTACTGGAGCCTCAGTTTGAGGCATCTTGAAAGCCCTTGCCAACCTTAGCTGTCCTGGGTCTCCCAGACAGACTGCTCTAGATGCCACTTGCTACTATCGTCCCCACCCCCACCCCCCGCCTCCTCACCACACTCCCACCTTCTCCACCAACTTCCTGCAGCCCCTTACCGAATGGCCGCGGATCCCCGGCAAGATGAGCAGGAAGCTGGCGGCGAAGGACAAGAAGACCAAAATGACTATGAGCAGTGGGACGGTGAAGCCCGGCGAATGTGGGGACTGGGGGTAGAAAGGTAGCACGCCGTTCCACAGAGTCATCTTGAACGCGGGTCGGGGGCTGCACGCCGGGTGGCCGGGCTGGGGTCTCCGGGACTCGATGGGACGGTCAAGTCTGAACAGCCCCGGGGGAGCGCCGGTAGACCCCGAGCGCCCTGGGGCGAGCCGGCCAGCGGGATTCTTCCTCGCTGAAGTCTACCGGGTTACTTGGCCTCCGGCTCTGCTGCGTTTGGAAATTGTGCGGAAACTGGACCCCTTTTATAGGAACGTGGGTGGCGGGTCCCAGCCCAGCGGAGGGGGTCTGAAAGGGGAAAGAGGGCATGCAAATGAGGGGCGGAGGGCGTTATGCAAATGATAACAGCCCCGCCTTCCCAACAACGGGCGAGCCCGGGGTCCAGATATTCACACCCCGCGCCAGGGCTGGTCAGAGCTGACACCTGCGCAGCGGCAGGCGAGACAGAGAAGCCTGAGCGCAGGGTGAGAGCCCGGAGGGGCCGGGTTGGGGCAGGGGCACGGTGGGGGAATGGAAGTAGGGAGCAGAGCCGAGAAACCGAGGCGACGTTTGCAGCCGAGGGATACCTTTCCCCGGAGGCTGACCTGGAGTTGGGAACCTACCCGCCCCAGTTCGCTGTGGTCCAGTTCCACTCCCGGTGTCGGTTTCCCGGACGGTGGGTGGGCTGTGGGTCCTGAGATCCCAGCTCATTTGCTTTCTTCACTTCGCTGCCTCCTCTAGGAGAAACAGTACTTAAGAGGCGGAGGGCGGTTTATAGGCGTCAGACCCGAGCCCTTGGGAGTCTGACTAGTCCTGCTGGGGGCTAACCAGCCGCAAAGGACTGGAGAGCCGCAGGTCTCCGAGTTCGACCTTAGCTCTAGGACGGGGCAGGGAGCGGCGCCAGTACCTGGGAACCTTCCGGAAAGAGTGGTTGGCATGCCGATTCAGGCGCTCGGCGATGCTCCAGCCTTGGTGCGCGCCGTCGGAGCGTGCGTGGAGAGGTAGCGGAGTGCGCGTGGCTCACACCCCTCGTTCGCTTCTAGCCTGCAGGGGCAGAATGCGGTGCGCAAGACTAGAAGCCCTGGTGCTCCTGGGGGTTCTGTTCATTCGACTCCCGGCTCCTGCTGGTAAGTCAGGCACCTGTCGCTGCAGAGTGGCACGCTGAGCCCCTGGAAATGGGGTGGGAAGAGGTGCCGGCAATCTGGAAGCCCAGCACGGCTAGGACGCTGAGAACGTGGATCTCGCTGGAGGCACTGGGCGACCAAAGGAGGGCCGGGCCGTCGGGTCTTCAGGCGAGGAGGGGTCGCTGGAAGACTTGCGCTGAGGGTGCAGTTCTCTGCCTCCACAGGCGGCCAGGACGCACCCCCGCTGCCCTGGGAAGTGCAGCGCTACGATGGCTGGTTCAACAACCTGAGACACCACGAGCGGGGCGCGGCTGGTACGTGGAGGACGCGGGTCGGTCCTGCAGAGGGAGAGATGGTGTGGGGGGTCGCGGCTTGTAAGGGAGTGCCTTCTCGCGCACTTGCGCGCGAAGGGATCCTTGGGGAGAAGGCAGCGGGTGGGGTGAGATGTGCCGGTGGGGGGAGGGGGAGATAGAGAGGAAGAGGGGCTTGAGACGGGCTGCTGCGAACCAGCCCGGCTCCCCGCGCCCCGCAGGCTCTCGGCTGCAGAGACTGGTACAGGCCAACTACGCAGACGGCGTCTACCAAGCCCTGGAGGAGCCCTATCTGCCCAACCCACGCCTGCTCAGCGACGCGACTACGAGGGGTCCAGCCGGCCTGGCATCGCTCCGCAACCGCACCGTGCTGGGGGTCTACTTTGGTGAGAGCAAAAGGGGACACCCTTGGGGTGGCCTGGAGGAGAGGGGCTCCTGCCGGTCCACCCCCAAGCCGCTGGCTCCCTTCCAAACAACAGAGAGAGATGGTTGAGATTGGGGGTGGGAGCAGGTATATTGACTTCCCTCACCTTTCTCTTTCCCCTTATTTAAAGAGGATAAGGGGCCTGCCACCATTTCCCTCCCCTTCAGAGGGAGGGGAGTGGGTTGGGGAAGCCCTTGCATTCCTGGTGGAGAGTCAAAGCAATCTTAGCAGGCTAGGACGCCGCATTCTTTGAATATTAGCAGCCCGGGGTTCCTGGGAAGCAGCCCCGCAGCTGGCGGCTGAGCTCGGACGCGAACCCCTGCGGTGGCTGCAGGACCGCTCGGTCCCAAATCCATGGCAGGCGCCTTACCGACCCACGGTAGACTTACCAGTTTTCGCCCCACGCCCACAGGCTACCACGTGCTCTCTGATGTGGTGAGCGTGGAGACCCCCGGCTGCCCTGCCGAGTACCTCAACATTTACATCCCCCCCGGAGACCCGGTGTTCGACCCCGACCACCGCGGAGACGTGGTCCTGCCCTACCAGAGGAGCCGCTGGGACCCCGAGACAGGACGGAGTCCCAGTAACCCACGGGACCTGGTGAGGCTGCGACCCAACCTGGGGGCGGTGGCGTCCCGGGCTCCTCATTTGCCTCCCGCGGGCACCCACCTGGTCCTCCCTGCCCGCTGACCGGGCCCACACGCCCCGCGCCCCGTGCCCCGCAGACCAACGGCGTGACCGGCTGGCTGGACGGCAGCGCCATCTACGGCTCCTCGCACTCGTGGAGCGACGCGCTGAGGAGCTTCTCCGGGGGCCAGCTGGCGTCCGGGCCCGACCCCGCGTTCCCGCGCTCCGCGCAGAACCCGCTGCTCATGTGGACGCCGCCCGACCCCGCCACGGGCCAGCGCGGGGCGCAGGGGCTGTTCGGTGAGGCGGCGGGCGGGCGGGCCAGGCCGGGCTGGGCGCGCGGGCTCGTGGGCGCGTGGCCCCCCGACTCACGCCGCCTCCCTCCCGTGTGGCACGCAGCCTTCGGGGCCGAGCGCGGGAACCAGGAGCCCTTCCTGCAGGCGCTGGGCCTGCTCTGGTTCCGCTACCACAACCTGTGGGCTCAGAGGCTGGCGCTGGAGCACCCGAGCTGGGGCGACGAGGAGCTGTTCCAGAACGCGCGCAAGAGGGTCATCGCCACCTACCAGGTGGGCCGCCCCGCACAGGCCCCTTCCAGAGGATGGGGGACAACCTTTGTCGGGGGTGGGGGAGAGAGCGCGAGGTGGGAAAAGCCCCCGGCAGTGATGGCGACGGCAAGGGCTGCTTGTCGGGGGTGTGTGAGTGGGGGCACCCTGCTGTTGTGTAAGTCTCCCAGTTCCTTGAAGGGTGAGGCTTTGCTTGGCTTTTAGAGTCGCCCCTCCCAAGACTGTTGCTGAGCCTTGCTCGGGCTCAGTTCTGTCCCTAAGGGCCTGACGCACCTGCTGGTGCCTCCCCTGCCCTGTGTGTGCCCCCAGAACATTGCTCTGTACGAGTGGCTGCCCAGCTTCCTGCAGAAGACGCCTCCGCCCTATGCAGGTGAGGGACTGGGGGAGCACCGGGACTGAGTATGTGCGAGGGCAGAAGGCAGGCGGGTGTATGTGGTCTGAGGCTGTGGGAGTGGGAGCCGTTCTGCTTTATTACTCGTTCGGTAGGCTACCGGCCGTTCCTGGACCCCAGCATCTCTCCGGAGTTTGTGGTGGCCTCTCAGCAGTTCTTCTCCACCATGGTGCCCCCTGGCGTCTACATGAGGTGAGGGCAAGACCAGCCAGGTCAGGACATAGCTCTGTGGTGCAGAATGGACATGCCTTGGCACTCTGAAACAGGACCCAGGGGAGAAGGTTGGGTCTTACTGGGGACCTTCCCCACTCCAGCTTCCTTTTGGCAGGACTCTCGCTGCTGAATTGAGGGTCAAAATAGCATCTTTATCCACCTTTTCCATCTTTATCCACCAAGAGCTCATTGGCTCTTGGTGCTCTGCTCTAAGAAGCCCTAGGGCCACCCTCATAATGAACCATTCACCCCTATCAACCCCATCGTAGCCTGTACTCTTGAATCCCCTCATGCTGTTTTCAACTGCCTATTGCAGAAACGCCAGTTGTCATTTCCAGGAGGTCTTCAGCCAGGGCTTTGGCAGTTCCCCAGCCCTGAGGGTCTGCAACAGTTACTGGCTTCGGGAGGTAAGCTTGGGGTCAGGGTGATAGGGAGCTGGGTTGAGGTCTCTCTTTGCACAGATTGGGTCAAGCAACAATTTCAGTTCTTGGATATTGCTGATAACAGAAAATCATCTCAGAATGATTGTGTGTGAGATTCAGGGCTGGCCGTGGCCCTTTGTCCTTGGATGGGTAGGGGTGCAGGGTGAGAGGGCCTGAGCTCCAGGGAGGACCTTCATGCCCTTCCTGAATGTATGTTTTTGTTTGCTTCCAGAACCCCAACCTGAACACTGCCCAGGAGGTGAACCAGCTGCTGCTGGGAATGGCCTCTCAGATTTCAGAACTGGAGGACAGGATAGTAGTTGAAGATCTGAGGGGTGAGTCCAGGGCCGGGGGAAAAGGGCCAATGGCCAGGGAGGCTGGGGATTCAGCTGGGGTCATTGACAGGCAGCACACAGAGAGTATCTAAGATGCAGAAACACAGGTACACACGCTAACTGTCAAGGAGAAAATGAATGCAGAGCATTTTAAATGCTTAACTTGCAGCTAGAAGTTGTTTTTATTTTAAGTGGATCTGAGTGTCCAGATGGGGGAACCTTACTTAGGTTTCAAGTTCTTTTCAGACAACACTGAAGTTAGGGAATCAGAAGACAGGAAATTTACTCCCTGATGATTACAACAGTCCAGAATCTTAGAGAAAAGATCTTGCTAGAAAAATGTCCCAATTATATGTGATGATGTGGGTCACACCAGGTGTGATGTATAGAGGAGTGCTGTGGGCAAGAGGAGGGTGGGAGAGGGGGTGATGCTGACATCTGGATGCAAGGTGCAAAGCAAAGAAGATTTGGGAGAACTGATCCATGGTTTGGTCTTCTGTCCTCCCCCAGATTACTGGCCTGGCCCTGACCAGTTCACCCGCTCAGACTACATAGCCAACAGCATCCAACGAGGTCGAGATATGGGGCTGCCCAGCTATACCCAGGCCCTGCTGGCCTTGGGACTGGAGCCTCCAAAGAA